TGCAGCACCTAATGAGCACCTAATTCCTTGCTATTAATATTTATCGTATATTTAATAACTTCATTGCGTTGCTAGCGAGACGTTTTGCTAGCAACGCATATTTCAACAGTTCGTTACGGTGAAAATTTTAGAACACCTAATTTTTAAACTTGGCACCTAATTAGCACCTAAAAAGCCCCTAATTTTGGATTTTTCCAAATGCAAATTCCCAACTTTGCGTTGCTAGCGATACACAACTACGTTTGACAGCCAACTTGCCTGCCACCAGTTTTTATTTTCTAGTTGTTTATTTCCCTCTATCGACTCTGTCCACGTACGACATTACGGCGACTATAAAACCTATCCTCTTAAAAGAAACAAAAGTAAAGAAAGTAAAGATACAACTCTTTTTATATTCAATATAGATTATAAATAATACTTATTGAAAGTCACCATTTGGTTTAATTTACCCCTGGTTCGGAAAAAACCTCTGTCCTTGTAATAACCAACAAGTAACCCAGCGGGATTTTTTTTAACATTATAAACGTTGCATAAATCATAGGTAAGTTAACCCGTGTAGTGGCGGTCAAGATATCCACTACCCCATATCTTCCCGTGGGTGTCATAAAAGGCGACAAAGGGAAACAGGCAGGAGATGGGCAGCAGCATCTTCCTGATAACAGAAAAAATACAATAAAAAAACAGCGGTTGCCAACCCGCTCGCCAAGCGTGGCAACTATGGCAAATACCCCCCTATGAAGAAAGTAACAAAGAGACGGCCCCCAGTCCCCGGCGGCCCCGCTATTCCTGCCTACGGTGGCGACCATGGTAACGGCGGGGCAGGGGGTGCTAAGAATCTCCGGTGGAGGTTCGGTTGCCACCTTAGACGACTCAACCTGGGAACGTACATCGTACGCACCCTGAGGACTGACGAGAAGATCATGGAGCTGGAAGAAGAGATAGACAAGTTACGCTGGCATATTATAGGATTATCCGAAGTTCGAAGAGAGGGGGAAGACACGGTAATCCTCGAATCCGACCGGGAGGGCAACTATCTGTCCCAAGGAGTGTCGGATTTATCGTCCACAAGTCTCTCGTTAACGTTGTAAAGATTGAGTGTGTCGACGAGGGTTGCGTACCTTATACTCTGAATTACCAAACGGTATTCGCTGAAGGTCATACAGGTTTACGCACCAACCTCGGCACACCCCGGTGAGGAGGTGGAGGAAATGTATGAGGATATCTCTAGAGCCATGCATTCCTCCAAAACACAATATACGGTGTTAATGGGAAACTTCAATGCAAAACTAGGCTGAAGTAAGTAACTGAAAGTAGGGAAATTTGGAATAGGGCAACGGAACTCTTTTTTCCAGAAGCGGCCCCACAGGAAGTGGACCTGGTCGAGCCCCGAAGGTTCGACAAAAAATGAGATTGACTTCATTATGACGACCAGACGGCAACTGTTCAGTGATGTCTCAGTGATCGCGAGGATGAAAACCGGCAGCGATCACCGAATGATTAGAGGCACACTGAACCTAAACGTTAAGTTGGAGAGGTCTCGTCTAATGAAGTCAACGCTCCGTCCCCCTCGTGCTCTGTTCCAAAGTCCTGAAACCTTTCAGCTCGAGTTACAAAACCGTTTTCAGTGCCTAGAAAACTGCAATGAAGTGGACGATATGAATGACAAGCTCGTGGAAACTGTCCATGCGGTCGGAGCTAAGTTCTGCAAGACCCGCCGCAGAAGAACACAAAATCTCTCCGATCACACTCTTAATCTCATGGCTGTTAGACGGGAGATGAAGCTACATTCTTCAACAGATTTGACAGCATACAGGCAACTGAACAGACAGATCTCCAAATGCATGCGGCGGGACTTACGCAACTTCAATACAGCTTGTATTGAAGAAGCGATCGAGCGGAACCAAGGCTCCAAAGTCTTTGCCAGAGATCTGTCTGCCAGAAAGAGCCAACTGTCAAAGCTGAAGACCGAGTGTGGCAGCATCGTTTCCGGGGCACCTGAGATTTTGAGTGAGATTGAGAGATTCTATGGGCAGCTGTACACGTCATCGTTGGAGCCACACGCGAGTGTGAGTAACGATCCAAGATCGAGTCTTATCCGACATTATTCTGATGATATCCCGGACATCAGTCTGAGCGAGATTAAAATGGCTCTCCAGCACCTTAAAAACGGCAAGGCCCCAGGCGAGGATGGAATTACAGCAGAGCTTCTGAAAGCGGGTGGAAAACCGGTACTTGAAGTCCTTCAGAAGCTCTAAGTCCGTCCTCCATGGTGGCATTAAACCGGAGGCGTGGAGCAGAAGTGCGGTGGTCTTGTTCTTCACGAAAGGCGACAACGTTCTCTTGAAGATCTACAGACCGATTTCCCTTCTGAGCCGCGTCTACGTGCTGTTTTCGAGAGTCATTACGAATTGTCTCGCGCGCAGACTTGAAGACTTCCAGCCTCCCGAACAAGCCGGTTTCCGAAAAGGCTTTAGCACTATAGACCACATACATACCCTTCGGCAAATTGTACAAAAGTCAGAGGAGTACAATTTGCCACTGTCTGGCGTATGTGGACTATGAGAAAGCCTTTGATTCCGTCGAAATTTGGGCGGTGCTGCAGTCCCTTCAGCGGTGCCAAGTTGACTGTCGAAGTGCTTGTACAGTAGGGCTACGATAGCTATCCGAGTACAGAACCAGAGTACGAAATCTATGCAATTGCAGAGAGGTGTCAGACAGGATGACGTTATATCCCCGAAACTCTTCACCGCTGCATTAGAAGACATTTTCAAGCTTCTGGACTGGAAAGGATACGGTATTAACATCCATGGCGAGTACATCACTCATCTTCGATTTGCCGACGATATAGTCCTTATGGCAGAATCGCTGGAGGATCTAAGCACCATGCTCAATGACCTCAATAGTGTCTCCCAACGGATAGGTCTTAAGATGAACATGGACAAAACAAAGATAATGTTCAATGTCCATGTCACACCTATGCCGGTAGTTGTTGGGAGCACTAAGCTCGAAGTTGTTGACGAGTATGTTTACCTGGGTCAAATAGTCCGACTTCGACCGAGAGGTCAATCGACGGATTCAACTCGGCTGGGCAGCGTTCGGGAAACTACGACACATCTTCTCGTCAGACATTCCTCAAAACCTTAAAACGAAATTATACAACCAGTGCGTGTTGCCAGTGATGACTTACGGATCTAAGACGTGGTCCTTCACTGCTGGCCGTATGAGGAAGCTCAAGGTCGCTCAGCGAGCTATGGAGAGGGTTATGCTCGGAGTTTCTCTGCGTGATAAACTTAGAAATGAGGATATCCGCAGTAGAACCAGAGTGACCGACATAGCCCAACGGATTAGTAAGCTCAAGTGGCAGTGGCCGGCCATATAGCTCGAAGGACCGACAACCGATGGGGAAGAAAGGTTCTTGAGTAGCAGCATCGTACCGGTAGGCGAAGTGTAGGGCGACCCCCCACGAGATGGAGTGACGATCTGGTAAGACATGCAGGAAGTCAATGGCTGCAGGTGGCTCAGGACCGTGCTTTGTGGCATTCCTTGGGGGAGGCCTATGTTCAGCAGTGAACTTATGAAAGGCTGTAATGATGATGATGATGAAGTTAAACAAGAAACCCCTCCGTGTTAACTTTCAATAGTATAATCACTGCGATAGAGAGCGGCCAAAACGGTGATAGATGGTATGAAAACAACAACAATTAAATCTTAAAATAGTTTATTTCATTTAAAACTACGAAGTACACAGCCATTTTTGCCACAACACCTTTAATCGCGGAAGACAGTACAAACATCAACACGTATCACCGCGTGTCAAATATCAATATCAAAATTTAGTTATAACAACTGACTTGTCCTTAAATTACGTCAAACATTTTTTATTAAAACTATAACAATACAATAATAATTACACAATATAATAATAAAACTTAACGAAATTGATCTATTATTAGAAACGATACATTGAATGTGATAGAGCACCAAACACGTCGCAGCCACATAGTTTAATCAGGCAGTTAATTGAAAGGATAGCCGTAAACTTCGCCCTTAATGCATAGAGAAAGTTTAGCCAAAACGGTAGTAGAAAATATTATTTAGTTTTTAGGGGATTTGAGTCTTTTTATAGAATAAAGGATGATAAACGAGCACATTAACCCGATGGTGAGTTGATGTTTTGGCCCATAGACATCTGCATCTGTCCTCGATTAAGAATCAGAATGCAGATGCGTTACCACAACCGAGGTCTAAGACGGAATGCCTGGTTTCCATTAAAAATGGTATCCCGTTCTCTACACTCACCATTCGAAATACAGCAGCATTGAGGTGCTATTTTACACTTTTATTAAGTTGAGTGAAGACTTTTTCAGTACAAAATTATAATAATAAAATTCCTTTGGATCATTCGCTGACAGACCCGTTTGTTTCATATCTTTAAAAAGACGATAGATGTTGACGTCATTTTGTGAAATAATTGTAATGTCAGTGTCAGTAAACGGAACTAAATCCAAAATGGCGTATAAAATCCCCGTGTAAGGCGTATAAAAGTAGTTTTTTAATCACTCGCACATTTGGCGTTTGCCGGTTGCCGGCATTTGGCGTTCAGCAACCTAGTCGGTCTATTATCTAACTGGGCTGATTAAACCATATACCTGCGTAACATTTATGAAAGTAAAACTAAGGTTATATATACTTAGTTATAGTTTTGTGTAAATAATTATGATTTTATTTTAACTAAGCATACTTCTCATCAATCAGGACTATGTCCTGATAATACTAAAAAGGGTTGGTACTTCAAGTACCAAACGATCACATCATAAATATACATTCATATAAATAAATGCGCAATCGAATTCCGCTTTTAAAACTATATACAATAAGGTCTAAATTAAAATGCAATAGGCATTCCTAAATTTATCTAATATTCGCGTTACAAACAACGCGTTTATACCAATTCAATTTGGTCTTCAATCGCATGTCTAAATTTGTTCTACAAATTAATTTTACTTCGCTTGAATAGCAAGAGTGTTGATCAGCTCTTGGAAGTCGGTGACATACCAAGACGCCTTCTTTTTGACCTCCTCTCTGACCACATTTCCACCAAAACCTGGAAACAAAGATCGACATATTAAAAAAAAATGGAAAATATAATGGCCTAAGGTAGATCATGGAATAACTTTGCCGACATGTACTTATATCGCATATAATGTTATATATATGTTTGTTATAAACATAATATATAATATTACATACGTATCGACAAATCTTCTCGTCCATTATACCTCCCCTATTTTCAAACAAAAGCGCGTGTTGTCAGGCAGAAGTGAGTTATGGTCATTTACTGCTGGATATATGAGGATATCTACAACAGATCAAAAATAACTGACATATACCAAAATATCTTTAGGCTGCAAAGAGTCGATCATACTACTCAAGGTCACCACTAGGTAAGAATATCCTACCACTACAACATATTGTCACTTTTTATAGCATAAGGGTGACAAGCGAGCACACAGCCCACCTGATGGTAAGTAGATACTGTGACCCATAGACATATACATCTATCCTCGATTAAGAATCAAAATGCAGATGTGTTGTCACTCCTGAGCACTAAGATGAAATGCCTCGCGTATCCAGTAAAAACGGTCTCCAGTTTACACTCACCATACGAAAAACAGCAGCATACTATTTTACGTTGGTGTTCTGTGAGAGCGTGGTTCTTCCCTGGTCGAGCCGATCTATTCGTGCTACAACTAATATGGATCTACCACGTATAAAACCACTTGGATGTTGTAAGAGGCTACAGAGGAAAAGAAACCAGGAGATAGGCAGCAGCGTCTTCTTTTTAAGAACTTAATATATCGCAGAGATACTCGTCCTAACTTATTGAGGTTTGATGTAACAATTATATGGTAAGATCAGAAGTTTCGAATACAATACGATAAGTACAGACTCTAAAATCAATAAAGTTTTTTTTATAAATATTTCCTTACATCTAACCTAGAAACAACGGCAAGCCATGCAGGTTATTTACCTATAAAACCATCAGCCGGGGGACAGGCCTCCGCATCAGTGGCGCCATCTCCGATCATAACGAGCCGTTGGTAGCCGTGCTGTTCCTTCAGCCGCCTGATCACCAACCCTTTACCGCCCGATCGTGACGTTGGTTCCGCCTCATCGAAACCTGCGTATTCGCCTAGAACAAATAATCATATTGTCATTAAAGGCGAAATTCGAACACAATAATTTATACTCCCTCCACAGATAATAAATATGATATCTATCAAGAGAGCATCATAGCTCCCAGTGATAATGACTCAAAGAGTTTTCATGTTAGTCGATTTATAGATAAAATAAATCAACATGTTGTAAATAATTAGCCCAGTAGTGTCAGATGGCAGTATAAGAAATTAAGAATATCCAGTAGCCAATAACGACCCGTAGGTGTCGTAAGAGGTGACAGGGGGAAACAGATAACGAAATGGGTAGCAGCGTCTTCCTAATAACAACTAAATATAAAAACGGCGGTTACTAATCTGCTTGCCAGGCGTGGCAGCTATGTATACAATACTAGCTGTTCCCCGCGACTTCGCCCGCGTGTAGTTAGGGTTTTAATTATGTTGCGCTGAACCCTAACTCTTTTTTTCTATATAAGTAGCCTAAGTTACTCCTTATAACATCAGCTGTCTATCGGTGAAAGTCCCGTCGAAATCGATCCAGCAGTTTCGGAGATTAGCCGGAATAAACAGACAGACAGACAAAAATCATAAAAATTGTGTTTTTGTTATCAGTACCGTATAGTATACGTAATATTACGTATAATGCCCAATTCCCCCCCCCCCCCCCCAACTGCTCTTTTTAACCGAGAGAATACACTAATATCGTGTATTTACTATCAAACTGTTTTCGTAATTCTATTACTATTGTTTAATTGAAATGCATAAAGATATTTTCATTATAACAATAATTTTTAATTTGTTCTATAATCGATATAGACAAAACAAACTGTTTCCCTAAGCAATCTCAGGAGCGAATATGAAGTGGCACATCTCTACCGACTAGCGTCTGTACATGCACGAATGTCTCTGAAAGCCAATTTCAGCCCGGCCAAGATAGAACAAGCCAAGATAGACTGTACTTCAAATATATTGAACTACACACGATACATTTGCCTATTTTATTTTTGATCGCCATTTTACTGTTCTTGTTTGGTATATTTTGAGTTGGCGTTATTATGCGTATATTAAACTAGAATCAGCATTCATTTCCCTATCCAACAATCAGATCAGTACTATTATATAGGTTAAAGGAAATCAAAGGCTTTATTATTATTTTAATACAAAGTAACAAAATTGCCTGTATTTAATTATATGGTTTATTTATCAATCACCAGATGAAATGTAATAAAAGAGATAAAATATAATGAGTGATGAATTATTGTACGCCGTCATCGAACAGGAAAAGTTAAAATAAGATAACATGAATTTTATCAATCCCCGTGTGGTAGGTAATATGGGAAAAAATATCATTTCATTACAGTATCAGATCTTTTTGCAATACTGTTACACATAAATAAATATCGATAAAATAATATTTAACCTTAATACACAACATTAAAGTCTATATTTCAGTGACGGTATTTTGTAAGGACGAGTTCAATAATTATTATCTTTAATACGGTATTAAATGTACTGTCATTGCAAAATCCAATAAACGTGATAAGAAAACATTAATAAAAATGCAAAACAAAATAATTACACCCAATCCTATCATGTAAACATAATATATTATTATAAAGTATGAAATGAGATCTATAATAATAATAATATAATAAATATAATATTATAAATAATAAGCAACACTTTGTACTGGCAAACAAAGTGCAGGGCGATTCTCCTATAGATAGTGTGATGACCTGATAAGAGATGCAGGAAGTAATTGGATGAAGGTTGCTCAAGGACCGTGCTATGTGCCATTCTTTGGGAGAGGCCTATGTTCAGCAGTGGACTTGTGATAAGCTGTAATGATGATGATGATAACAATGTAAATAAAATTATACATGAATATGAGATTTTGAAATGCTAACTGCATCTGCGGTTCAACCTGATGATGGTGACTTTGCTTTGGCGACCGGCTGATAGCGGAAAATCCATTCAAAAATTCTCTATCCAAATTTGTAAACTTGGAATGATTAGAAACATTTTTAGAGCATCATAGCTTAGCACTCACCAAACCGCCTGGCCATCGTGCTGAGTATTGATTAATGTTAAATGAACCTAATTTTACTGATTTTATTGCGTTTAATTTAAACTTTTTAATTCTCGAAATTCTCGAAATACTAGTAATGCTATTAAACATTACTAATATTCCCTTTAACCACTTCTGGTTCACGACAGTAGTCGAATGGTGGATTCGAACCCACGACCTTTCGAGTTCGCGATCCGCGCCCTGCCATTAGGCAAATGACGCTTCGTGTTAAGGGTAAACTTAAAATTAAAAATCGTGACGAGTGACGACCTAGTGAGGCATGCATAGATGGCCTGATCCTGCTGCCCTGAAGAGACCTATATTTAGTAGTGGATGAGTAATGATGATGATTTGGAGTGAAACAATGAAATCCATAAATTTTTTTATTCATTCATTAATCAATCCTCGGCCACAGGCTAAAATGAAAACAATCACAGTGCGAAAACAAGTGTCATCACTCATAAGTGCCCCAGATCACATTTACGTAAAATGCGGTCCGCGCCCGTCAGCAATCACGCACCACGCCCGTGTGAGATAGTAAGCCGACATGAATCGCGTAATTTACCATCTGTTTGTTTACACGATACGCAAATCAAATACAAACACAAAGAACACTGTTTTGGTAAAGACATTTTTTAATCAGTGCCAATTATCAGCTTTTCATCTAATATAATTAAAAAAATGTTTGTTTGTTCGTATTTCATACGCTGCCATACCGTTCATCAGATTGAGGTTAACTTTGCCAGCTTATTACTTGCACTTGCTCGATGGTCATAGGCATACCGACAAATTTATTTGAAAGTCATATATTATTCAATTTCAATGTACCTATGTATTATCATTCCAAAATAACCAATATACCTATTTAAATTTAAAACGATATTTCCATAATTATTTCTTCTGCAGCAGCAACGCGCCGGATACCAGCTTGTTTATCTATATGAATAAATAAATTTGAAGTGTCTGTTTGTAATGTTAAAATAACAGCTTTTTACTAAATGCATATTATAACATTTTTGTCTGTCTGTTTGTTCCGGCTAATCTCCGAAACGGCTGGACAGATTTTGACGGGACTGTCATTGGCAGATAGCTGTTGTTATATGGAATAACTTAGGATACTTTTATTTTAGAAAAAGAATCAGGGTTCCACGCAAAAAAAAACCCTTGAAATCATAGTAAATTCAACGCGGGCGAAGTCGCAAGGGACAGCTAGTAATAAATAAAATAAATAATAATAAAATATGTACTTATGCATAATAATAATGTTCAAATAATAAATAAGAAGTATGCTCACATGTTCACGATTGTCAACAAGCAAAACAGAATGATAAATTATCAAAAAATTGGCAAAAATGATCTTCTGAATAATAATATCGAATTATGAAAGGTCACTTATCGATACCACAAGGACAATGAAAACGACAAGGTACGACAAAGGAAATTATCTTTTACTATATTGATAATAATCTATAAAAATAAATAAAATTGAAGTGTGTTTATAATGTCAAAATAACAGCTTTTTACTAAATGCACATGAAAGTATATACGGTACTTATAACAAAAACACAATTTTTAAAATTTTTGTCTGTCTGTCTGTTTGTTCCGGCTAATCTCCGAAGCGGCTGGGCCGATTTCGATGGGACTTTCACTGGCAGATAGCTGATGTCATTAGTTCAGTTAGGAGTAACTTCTATTTTAGAAAAATAATTAGGGTTATGCGCAAGATAATTAAACCCTAAATTACAGGCGGCGGAAGTCGCGGGGAACAGCTAGATAACTAATAAATTGGAAAATCCGTTACACGTTAATTGTATCATAGGTCGGAGTTCAGATTTGTGATTAGGGAGGTCGGAAATCGAACGGATCGCGGGATACAAAATTATTGTCTTTTAAACATTAGGAAAGTAAAATGCCGTTTAATTACACATGCAATCGATTAACTCCTTTTTATAGGATAAGGGTGACAAACGAGCACACAGTCCACCTGATGGTAAGTGGTTGCTGCGGCCCATAGTCGTCTACATCTGTCCCCGAATTTCCTAATATGTCTGTAAGAGTACCAATCAAGAACAAACTATATAGAATGGAATGGAATCGAATGCGAGGCTGATAAACGATTCTTTCAAGTTGGGAGAGAACTACATCCACCAGGACTATTCGTTATCACCTTCAAATATAGGTTATGCTATTGAAATTATATAATTTTTTTTTTATAGGATACAGGTGACAAACGAGCACACAGTCCACTTGATGGTAAATAATTGCTGTGGCTCATAGACATCTATACGCGATTATGAATCAAAATGCAAATGCCTTGTCACCCGTGAGGACTAATATGGAATGCCTCGTTTCCAGTAAAAAGGGGTCTCCGGATCTCTACACTCACCATACGAAACACAGCAGCATTGAGATATTTTACGCTGGTATTCTGTGAGAGCGTGGTCCTTCCCCGGTCGAGCCGACCCATTCGTGCTACAACTATACCAGTTATATGGCTGCAGCATGGCTCTACCAGGTAATAAGTAATAAATAACTCGCCTATATCGTGACCATTTTTCTCCACTACAAGGTAATTGTATCAAGTCAATAGTAAATTAACATACAATAATGTAATTGCTAATAAAAATAAATCCAGTTACTCAACAGAATCAGTAATTCATGCAATGTTTACTCTTTTACAACAAAATACCAGAACATGTTCAAAGTTTGTCAATAGACAAGTTTAAGTTTTATTAAAGAAAAGCTGTACAAAAAGCGTTATTATAATACCAAGTAATACATGTAGGAAAATAACCCCTGGGAATGAGGTGCCCGCCACCATGCTGGTTCTATGAAAATTCATTTAAAAATTGTACAAACAAAATTATTGTAAAGTGAAATATGTTTGAAAAAAAGTCCCACTGGTTTTCTTGCTGGTTCTTACCAGAACAGAGGTATTTTCCGAACCAG